GCATGGGAGATCAGGAGGAAGCACCTGGCTCCTGGCTTTGGATCAGTGCAGGGCACCAGCCGCAGTGGCCATTGGAGGGTGAACCAACAGAAAAGGAAGACCTTTCTCTTTGTCTTTCTCCCTCACTGTTCACTCTGCCTGTCAAAAAAAAGGAATTGAGGAAGATCACACAGCTATCAAGTGGAAGGACCAGATGGCAAGGTGCTGACATCTGTAGTTGCTCCTTTTCCTGTAACAGAGAGGAATGGAGAAAGGCTCAAGCAAGCCTCCTGTAGTCCACAGTGTGAGATGCACTGTGCCAGAGCCAGCTACTCATTGGCCACAACAATTGATTGAATCTGCGTGGATGAAAAAACAAACAAACAAACAGTGCAGATAGTAAAAATCCACATACTGAAGAACGAGTAGCTGGTATAAAAGATCGAGTCTCATTTTTAGGCATTTTTTCCGCTCTGTTTTTAAATACATTGCTTTCCAGACACACACCAGGGTACCAGTGCTGATGTTCAGAAAAGACTAACAGAAAAGATCAACTTCTGGATGGTTTGGGTGTGGCCATGTCGTGCCTCCAATGTTCATGTTGACAGGTTGGGAAAACACAGTGCTGACTACTCTATTTTACAGCCAGGTTGGTATGTTGTGTTGATTTCTTGCTTAAGATTTATTCATCTGTATTGAAAAGCAGAGTTACACAGAATAAGAGACAGAGACCAAAAAGAGAGAGAGATCTTTCATTCTTTGGTTCACTCCCCAGATGGCCAAAATAAACGATGCTGAGCCAGGATGAAGCCAGGTGCCAGTAGCTTCTTCGGTTCTCCCAAGTGGGCATAGGGGAAAAAGGACTCGAGCCATTCTCCACTGCTTTCCCAGGCACATTAGCAGGGAGCTAGATCAGAAGGAGAGCATCCAGGATATGAACCAGTGCCCATATGGGATGGCAGCACTGCAGATAGGGGATTAATCCACTGTGTCACGGCACCAGCCCCTCTGTTGATTTCTACATGTTCAAGGCAAGTACTTCCTCAGGCTTGTCAGAATTGGCATACCACATTGATTCAGGGACCACAAATATAGTATTTATCTTTGACAGATGCACTGGAAGATGATTTAAATCTAGAGATGTTCTAGTATGATTTACATGTTCATGGAACTCTTTTCTCTTCTCTGCTGAGGCAACCTGAATAGCTTCCCATCTACAGCACTCTTTTGGAGATGGTGGCTAGCATGGAAGCCAGACTATTGAAAAAGCAGAGTTGGGATAGGGATGAGGATCTTCTCCCCAGCAGTAGAATTACGTTGAATGTCCTGGGAGGGCCATGTAGTAAGGGATCCTACCACTTTGGGTCCTGGGATGGAAGTGATGTACTTGACCTGGGAGGTGAAACCCCAAAGGGGCAGAACCATTCCTGACAGCAAAAGCACTGCTGTGACCCCTGAGTTATCTAGGCCTGGCTCAGCTGTCAGTGAGAGGAACATTAGCATGTCCTGGGATTCAGCTCTGAGATGGAACCCAACTAACTGGGAGTTGTGGCCCTGAGAACACTTGGTATCCACAAAATAACATTCGTCCCTGTACAATGCTGAGGCCCTGATCCTTAGCCAGGATGCAGCCTGTGATGTAGGAGCAAAAGGAGCCCCTACAACAGGCTCTTCAGCACCCACAGGAGTGAGTAGCAATGGCTTCATTCTTGGAAGTGGCCTCCAGGCCCATCAAGCCTTCTCATCACTCATGATACCTTTGCCTCTAGCTTTAGCCTCATTGGCGTGTAGCTTAGCTCTGCAAGGGGAACTACCCACCATTCACAGAGATTTAGTCCCTGCATCAGAGCCTTCAGGAGATGGGGCACATCCCATGTGGTCCCTCCATGTCAACCTTATCCCTTCTGTTTCCCAGCTTCTCTGGGCTTGGCAGACTCAGCTGAGTTGGAAGAGAACAGCTCCTGCCCAGAGTGGAAGGTGCTTTCTTCAGTGCACATGGACCCAGGCTGTTCCTGTTCCCCATGCTCATTGTTGGAATGACCTGCTCAGGAAATGAGGGCTTGCTATGCTGGACTGCTGGTTATACAACCTGAGACAGCTGGAGACTAGCTCCCCCACCTGTGATGTTCAAGATTGGCACAGAACAGAGGGAAGGAAAGGATGGTACTGGGTAGGTTGGGCCACTTTGGAAAACTGCAGCCACAGTTTTTGGTTTTCCACACAAGACGTTGCTGCTCTCCTGTCTCAGTCTGAACACAAATCTGCTCCGCTTTGCAGCTTCTCTGGCACTTATGTGCTCATCTTTACTTTCCATAGGCCATGGGGTTCCCTTGGTCCTGGCTCTAGATGGGATGAGATGCACTCAGCCTGGCTCTGCTTTTTAATAGGAAACTGGGCAGGAGAAATTGAGCTCTCTGCACTTTGGAAATTATTTAGAAGTGTAAAAGTGGAGACATCCAGCCTTGTAGCCATCCTGACCTCCATTCATGTTTAGTTCTCTCATGCCATTCCATGACATGGCAGTGTCCAGAGATTTCTAATTTTAAAATTCTTGGCCATCTGTTTACTTATTTAAGGACAATAGCACCCCATTTGGTTGTTCTATGTCACAAGCTGGAATATTAGAGCTTTGTAAGTTAGGACAAGCTAGAGACATAGAAGCCGTAGGATTTGATGTTGTTCTGCAGCCAGGTAACTGAGAGGTGTAGAGCAGCAGGGGTAGGCAGGGTTGTTCTGCTCCAGCAAATCTCAGGGAAGCTCAGGTGTAAAAAGTCCATGAGTGACCCACTTGCCCTTCCCAGGTACCTTCCAAGCTCTGGCCGCTAGCCATACAGCACACCCGCGACGGGGACCCAAACAGAAACCCAGAACTGCCAGAGATGCCAGCAAATACAGAGTGGGTGAGTGCCCAGAGGTGAGAAGTGCTTCCAGCTGTGGAGACCTGGGAGGGGCTCACAGCCCCAAGGTAGCTTGAGGAGCTCTACTGCTCTACTGCTATAGTCAATTTCCCACGTCACTTCACCTTCTGGCTTCGGTCCAGGAAGGTTCGTGCCTTTAGGCTCAAAACACCAAAGGAAGAAGGCAGGGGAATTTCAGGTAGGCGGCATGGCAGGGCGGCCTCTGAACAGTGGAAAGTGGATTCCAGAGAAGGTTAAGCCTTGCTGTGCCCTTTCCCATTGCACATGGCAGGGTTCTCTCCAGCAGGTCAAGAACCATCACTCTAGGTCCTGTGCGAGCTGCCCTGACAGGAAGTCTCAAAGGACAGGAGTCCTTTGGAGGACTCTGGTCCTGGGCTCGTGGTACCCAGCAGGTGATCTGCTGCATGACAGCAGGGCACAGGAGGCTTTGTTTTGGAGAGGGAGAGGAAGGTGAGTTTTGTCCGTTTTCCATCATGGCCATCTCAATGGGGGAGTTTTTCTGGCATTTGGAGCATAGTAGCTGCAGGTGACCTACATGAACTCAGGTATCAGGATGTCCTAGGACACTGGCTCCCAGGAGACAGTGGATAGGATGAAAAGGGGAACCCTGGGCAAGAGGCTCCTTCTCAGGGAATCAAAAATCCTGCAAAAACCCCAAAGTGGAGCTAGTCTTTGGCTCTCTGTTATTCCTGGCACTCCATGGGCAGTTGGAGGGACCACATGCTTACTTGGTGAGGCTGGTATAGTAGCAGTCAGTTAGTCATCCAAGTTACAAGAGGATGGTTTCTTGGATGGTTCTTTACCACTCACATCTATCTGGAAGTGTGCAGAAAAGGGGTGCTCATCTCCAAGTGTTGCTATTTGGATTGTGTGCTGCTGGATCTGTGATCCAGGACTCTGTGTGTGATCCTGGGGAAGGGTACCCAGGTCTCTTGGCCACTCTTGATAGAGGCCTACAGGAGCTGTTATCTTCCACTGCTGGGAGACATCGCTGTGCATGCTCTGAATGTCCCTTACCTGCAACTACCCCTCCAGGTCATGGTATTTGCCTGCTGTCCCCTCTGCTCAGTCAGCTGTGCTGCTGTAACACCCTTTCTGCATGCACTCCCAGTGACAGGGACTTGGATCCAGGTGCCATGTGGAAATGACTCAGTTTCCAGGGGCAGGAAACAAATGCCTCTGCTAAGTGTCTGCTGTGAAGGGTGCTGATGTTTGGGGCAGTTGGAGGCCCCAAGGGGACTGTACAATATGATGCTCCTTTCACTTCCCAGGTTGTAGGATCTGCAAGTCTTTGCAGCTGGCCAAGGTCTTGCATTCTTCTTTGTTGCTCCCTGAGGCAATTGCTCTGCCCCAGGGAAAGACTCACAGGAAGAGCCAAAAGCAATGGAAGTCTGCACTAGCCAGAGGACAGTGCTGGGATTTGTTGGATAGTTCGTCATCGGTGGTAGCAATTACATCACACAGTATTGTGGCCCCCCAATGACTGATTCATTCATTCACTGATCGCTTCTGGAAGGCTTGTCTTCAGTCTCAGATGCTTTAAAGTTGGGAGAAAAAAGTGACCCACCTGCCTGCCCTCCAAGATACTGCAGTGGAGTAGAAGACCCTGGAGGATAAGCTCAGAGTCTGGCAGTTGAATGGTGCCCACAACCTAGTGCACAGTATCTGCATATCTGCTTTGTATTGGAAGAATGTTTCCCAGGAGCCTCCAGGGTAGACCTTTTAGGTATAGGGAGCAGGTTCCCCTGGTTGCTGGAGTGTTTGTGGTTTCCTTTCTTCCCTTGTTTGGATGTGATCGATTTACTGAATATTCTTGACCTTACAAGGTCTCATTACAGTCCATATGTTATTCTCATCTTTCCAGTTTTATTTCTAACATGTAACTCATATTTATAATTCTCTACACTGTACATTAAGAGAAACATTTTACTTGAAAGGCAAATGTTCTTTTAAGGCACTTCTAAAAGTGACATTTGTTTTACACTCTTGGAGCTGTTTCTTACTGCAGTTATCAGGAATACTGTACAGCTTGACAGATTTCTTTCTATTTTTCTGATTAAAAGCCAAAATAGAACCATGACAGAGTTCAGGGAATGTACTTACCTGGAAAAGGTAGATAAGAAAATTGGTCTTCTCACCCAGTACATTAATTATAATGCCACGGTGTTGAATAAATCTGAGTTCACACCACAGGAACTTTCTTCTTTGAGAAACAGAGAAGCTGGTTTCATCTTCCTCTCTGCAATTAATTAAGTTTCTTAGGAACATATTTTGTAAAAATAGAAAATTTTACTCAGATGTTTTGTAAAAGGAAACCAGATACCACATCAATGACTTGGTTGATCCTTAAACATAAATTACATTTACTCATCAAGAAACGTATTGCAACATTCAATAGAACTCTAAATCACAGATCAGCACAGTAGTCTGATCGCAGCCCTCCTGGGGAGATCTTGTTTAAAATCATGAATTTCTGGGCCCTAAGAGTCTCTGTGTTATGAAGGCTTGTTATTGGCTGCATCTTTTGTGACGTGGTACGTGTCTATGGGTTGTGCGGTGTGTTCAGTGAGACGCGCTGGCAGCCATGTTACAAGATCCTGTGGGATCTTGACGCCACAGTTGGGCATGGGTTCCGGGTTGTGGAGCCAGAGACGCAGCGAGGCTGTTCCGCTGTTGAGTCACGCAGGTGACTCAGCCTCTGTGCTCCCTGAGCGTCCCTTGCCTCAGAACCTGGACACCATAGAGGCCACGGGAATGCTGAGTGTGGGGGCAGGGCGTCCTGGAGGGGGAAGGCGGTGCTGCTGGTCAGCTGTGGCTGGAAGCAGCCTTCCAGAGGGCGGCTCAGGGCTACATGCACCTTGGTTCACCGCTGGGACTGCACGTTCTTGGGGCCTCGCTGGCCCCTGGGTTGAGGCTGGGCCTCCGCCAGCACCTGAGCATCCTAGCGGGTCTGGGCACGCGGGGACTTCCCTCAGCCCCAGCGCATGCCCCGCAGCCTCGCGCCTCGCGCCGTTGTGCATGGAGGAGGGGAGGGTGGTCAGGGAGCAGCGGGACTGGGCACAGGGGCTTCCTGCGGGGCGGAGCTGCTGTTTTTCAGTTGCTTGGTTCCCCCTTCCTCCCTGGTGGTGACTTCATTTCCCTGTGTTTTGACTTAGGGGAAGCAGGGTCTCAGTTTCAGGACCCTGTCCTCTCAGTCCAGCTCCTACTAAGGCCCGATTCTGTTTTATCCTGCTGAGGGCAGATACAAGAAGCTGGGTTAGGTGAAAGAAAGCGGTTTAGTTTGAGTGGTTTTGTCGAGGCTTGAAGTTTAGCATCGGGCGATGACCCTTGTACTGAGGGCATGCTGACGGGCTCAGGGCAGCGCTTCGCTCCTCCTGGGGGTGTGGGGAAGTCGGCCTTCAGTCCTTCGGGTCAGCCCTGAGCTGCGGGTGCCAGTTCCTCAGTGTTCACCTTACCAGCTCCGACCTGGTGAGGGCTTAGAAACCGCCCTTTGATGAAGCTACCTGCAATGTGCCTGGCTGTTCTTTGTTCTCTCTAGATCTTTCTTTGAATCCCTTTTGTTTGTTCCAGTCCTCAAGTTAAAATGACCTTGCGTTAAGATTGGTATATTTTCTTTTAGGTTTTCTCTTCCTAGACAGCTTTGCGACTTTGCAGGGTTTGGAGTTGGTCTTGTGTTTTCTCCCATCCTTAGCTAGAATTCTTTCTAACAGCTCATGAATTTGTCTTCTTGCTGTATTATGTTTTTCTAGCTTGGCTCCGTAATTTCATCATAATCACCCCACACACAAAAACAACACAAGCCAAAGGGGAAAAATGATTTTTTGCCCTTCTTATGGTTTTTGGCAACAACTGTCTTTCCAGAAACACAATACAGAAATCTGAATCTGTTCCCTTTGCTTCTCTTAAAGCCACACCTATATGTGACTCTCTGGTTTTTGCTTTCAAGATCTTTCTCTATTCAGTCACCTTTTCTCTGTCTTTGCTCCTATGACCACCACATACAGGGACCCTAGGCTATAAACACACAGTGTACTGGTGGAAGACTAAATGGGCCAACTTTTTTTTAACAAAAATCCGAAACTTTAAATAATTTATACCCAATATCTTAGGGTGCATTTTCCCTGTTGATCATACTGTTGCAGAATGTACAGAGGCATATGGGGAGTTAAATAGAAATGCATTCACTTCAGCAGTATTAGAATGTTGGTTGTCAATGGTGTGCACATGCACATGTATAAGGGACAGCTACATAATCCCTTCTATTCAACATTGCAAGTATTTGTGAACTTCGTATTATGCTACTGTTGAGGGAGGACAGACATGGAGGACAGTGAATCCCTGCCTGAAATGGTATATTTGCAGTTTAAAGAGTGCTATTTTCAAAGATACACATTTAAATAAATTCTATACATCAATTGTTATATTCAAAATCAGAATAATAAATTACATATTCACTTAGTTATGGGAAAGAAATCTGTTGTTTCTGTACTTAGCTCCTAAGTGTTCTGTGACCTCTTATCCCCATGAAGCTATGATGTGTCATTTTACCTCCTGGTGTCTCTGTGGGAAGGATCCATGCCCATCACATGGGAAGACAGACTGTTGTGCTGGAGCAGTCTATACTGGGCGTGGAGCTGAGTTCTGTGTATTCAGAAATGGAGTGATTCTCAGGACATCCAACGTTATTGAGGTTCAAGAAATATGTATATTTGCTCCTGTACTTTTCCAGTGAAATATATCATGACATTTATTGTGTTCCCAGTGTTTATGATAAAAGGGCACAGAGCACCCTGTTTAGTAGAGAGATGGCTGCCTTGATCCAGTGATGATGCCAAAGGAGAAGAATGTCCGGAGGGAGCCCTCATGTCCCCAGCAAAGTCCATGTCCCTGGTGACTAGGGTGCCACAGAGCTGTACTGCTTCTCATCCCAGGGAGAGGTTTTATAAATGCAATTGTGTGGGTCCTGGTTTCATATTTTTGGCTTTAGTAATTTTTGCTTTGTCTTCTTTGGATATGCAGTATCTTCATTTTGTCAGTACGTTTGTTTCTATGGTTTTTCCAATTGAGTTCTTATTCTTCAGGTGACCAGCTCCGTAGCTGGTAGGACCTAGGAAACACTGAAAATGCAAAACAATTTATTTGCAAATTGTTAAGGATTTAAATATAGAAACATGATGAATTGAGATTGATTTTAGATGAGAAATTATCAGGGCCCTTCTGGAAATCTGTAACCCAAAACATAATGTGACCACACCCAACCATTGCCTGGAACCAAGTGGGCTGCAGTGGTCACCAGACAAGAGTGGGCAAAGGAAGGCTTTTTAGGGCCATGTTGCTGAGGAAGGTGGCCAAGACCCATTCCAGTTAAGTAGAGAGATGTGAAACTGTGTATGAATTTCAAGCCCACACACATTTACCATCATCCTATCTGACTTCATAAGAGAAAACAAATACAAGTCAAATTGAATAAGAAATCCACAACAGCAACCAGAGAGCATTAAATCATAAGCCTAGGGTGGTCCTCTACTGAGCACTGACTACGTGCTACTGCCCTGATCTACAAGCTCATTTGGCCCTTTGTCTTCATTTCCATTGGTTGATTGGTCTGATTTTCACCCCTCCTACAATATATGATTCTGTGTTTACACGTACTGGATACTTGAAAAAAATCATTTAACTTCTTGATGGGAGAAGAATATATAACTCCAGTGTTCTTTTTCTTTTATTTTTCACAAGCACATTCTTATATATTCCTTGAGTTTTCAATTTTAGGGTGCGCACAGGGACATTATAATTTTCTATTTGGGTATCACCTTAGCTTTTGAAAACATGCTCTCTAGACAAGTAGACATCTAACTTTAAAATGTCAAAATATAAGACTTTTTCAAATTTAGGCTACTCAAATTTTCATTTTGTTTTATGAAAACTTCCCTGTTTCCAAGATATTCATTTATTTCCTAAATTATTTTCAATTTATATTTTTAATAAAGGAATGTTTTGTGCTAGTAGAAATATTTTCAAGGTTATAGGAGTATAACTAATATATGTATATTATGTTATATATCATATATATAACAGATGCTGTATATATTTAAGCCATGTGTGGGAAATGTATACCTGCCCACCACAGGATACACTCAGGAACGTGAAGGAAGCAGAAAGCAAGGCATTTATTTCCCCTGTTCTTGAGAGCAGTGGCCAGCTGGTGGAAGCAGGCTGATACTCTCAGGCATTCAGTTCTTTTTCTCCCTGCCATGCAAAGGTCCTTTCCCCCTGTTTCTCACTTTGTTGAGAAAGTTGAGAGCTCCATTCTAAACCCGGATGGCCCCTAATTGTGAGGTCAGGTAATAAAAGAGTGAGTACCCAGACCATTTGCTGGGCAGATAGGAGAAGGAAGGAGGGAATGGTTTAGCTGGGGTTAAGAGGTGGAGCAACATAGGGAAGGGGGACTTGTGAGAAATATCCAGGAGGGTACTTTCAACAGCTGTTGGTTCAGACTGATACCAGGAAGTAGCACCAACAAGGGCTGTGTAGCTACTGGTTATAGATATAGTTGAGGCACTGGTTACAAAAAATACAAAGGGCAGGACATATGAAGCAGGCTCAGCAGTTAAACTACTGTGGGTTTCTGCAATTCTCTACCCTGTGTGCTACTGAGGCCTGGTATCACAGCATCATCAAGGCTAAGCTACGTTCTGATGAAAATACACCATTGAGCCATTTCTGACACATGAAACTAGGTGGTTTGATATATGTTATGGTTTTAAAACTATTTTGGAAAATTTCCAAGATCTTTTAATCCTAAAAATTCACAAAGTCCTTGGACTCCCCATGCACATATACATTATGAGGTGATTAGCATGATCAAACTAACATGGCTATCTGCTTACATAGTTATCTTTCTTTAAAGCATATTTACAATCTTAGCAGAATTGCAAGTATATAATTTGGTATTAACTATAGCTACTGAACTTTACATTAGGTCTAAGAACTTAATTCATTTCATAGCTCCAAATTTGTGTTGTCTTCCCATTGCCTTCACTCCTAGAACCAGGCAGACCTCCTTAGATTCCACAGGAAGTGAGATCATATAGTACTTTTCATTCTGTGTCCTACTTCACACAACACAATGTCCTCCAGATCCATCCATACTTTCAAATCCATGTGTAATAGATACCATGATTTCTTTCTTTTCTAAGGATGAATAGGATTTTTTTTGTGTACACCATACAAAGTATTTTTCTATCTCTTGATAGACAGTTGGCTTATTTATATATATTGCTTCTGTGAATAATTCTGACTTGAGCATGGAGGTGCAGGTATTTGTTTGAGGTAGTTATTTTATTTGCTCTGCAAACATATACATTAGTGGAATTGATTTAGCATAAAATAGTTCCATTTTTAATTTTATTGGAAGATCCTCCATACAGTTATCCATAGTAGATACACCAATTCACCTGCCTACCAACTATGTATATGTTTTCCTTTCTCTATATCCAGTTCAAGACTGGTTGCCTTTTAATTTTTTGATAGTAGCCATTTTAGCAACATGAGTTCATAGTGGTCTTGATTTGAGTTTCCCTGAGCATTGGCAGTGTTCAACTCCATTTTATGTATCTCTTTGGCGACTTGCCTGTGCTTTTGCTGTTATATATAAACAGTTATTTTTGAGACTAATGGGAAAGAAGTTGCTCCTACTTTTTTTACAAGTTGTAAGTTTTTGGATCTTCTGAGTGAATCGTCAGTCCATTTTGAGTTGATTTTAATGGCATGGTGTAACATAATAGTAGTTTAAATTTTTAATATGTGGATGTCGAGTTAATCACTGCCTGAGATACAGGGCCCAAAATCCAATGAACGCATATTTGGTAACCCCAGTTTGCCAAGCTATCCAGCATCAGCTGCTAGAAGCATCCCAGGTACTCTGCTTGAACTGGGTGAAACCAGGCATACTATGTCAGGCCATATTGCCTTTGCCTGGTGCCTCATCAACCACCTAGGCCTGGTGCCTCAGGCACAGTACTCCTGTAAGCTGCTGCCCTGCCTGTCTGTAGTGGGAGCCACATGTAGGGGAGTATGCAGTGATGGGGGTGGGCTCAGGGGCTATGGTCCCTTTCTGTGGAAGCCAGGGATGTACAAAGGTAATTCAGAAAGCTTGTGGGGGCTTGAAACTGGCATTGTGGCATGTGGGACAAGCTGCCTCTTGTGAAGCTGACATCATGTACTGGATTGCTGCTGCTATTCCTGTATGTTTCAATTCTGATCCACCTTCCTATTAATGTGTCTGGGAAGACAGTGGATGATGTCTGAAGTGCTTGGATGCCTGCTTCCATGTGGGAGAACAGGATGGGGTTCCTGGTTCCTGGATTCAGCCTGGCCCAGCCCTAGGTGTTAAGGCCACTTGGAAAGGGAACCAGCAGATGGAAGATCATCTCTCTCTCTCCCTCTCTCTCTCTCTCTCTGTCAAATAGATAAATGCATAGATATCTAGGTAAATAAGTAAATACTTCTTTAAAAAACATTCATGAGTGTCTGGTTATTTGGCATAACCATTAACTCTTCCTCATGATACCTGTAACCCATATTGGATTGGTTGAGTTATAATCCCATTTATGCTTCCCGTTTCAGTTTCCTGCTAGTGTGCACCCTGGGGGACAGTGATGGTAGCTAAAGTGCTTGGGTTTCTGCCACCCATGTGAGAGATTCAGATTGAGTTCCTGAGCTGAGCAGATCTCATTTCAACCTCATCAGCTGCAGACATTGGGATAGTGAACTAAGCTTTTGGGGTTAAAATAATGCTGTGTGAGTGCATGCCCACATGCACACAAACATGTCTGCCTTTCAAAAAATGAGGTAAGAAAAGTTTTTAGTGCCATAGTTTGTTATATTCATGTAAGGATAATGTAGTTTTTTAATGTATTTACAGAATTAACTTGAATTAGGGCAAAATTACAAAAAGAAATATGGAATTAAGGATAACTTTATGTTGATGCAAATTTTTTGAAGTACATTCCCAGTTCCTGCATAGTTCATGTTGTCCATGAACTTTTTGAAGACCTCTCATATTCATGAATTAAAAGAATTTTGCATCAACATGCATACTTCATTTCATGTTGCAGAAACATTAAAATGGAAGTAGTAGAGCATTGAATTTTGGTGCAAAATTTCTGAAATCATGCATCCCAAGTTCTTCAAAAAGTGTATAAAGAGTTCATATCATGAAAAAGCTTCCCATGGATTTCAGAAATCTTTGGAAGGAGATAATTGTAACCTTTAATTGCATTTTCTCAGAGTTTTTGATGCCCTTGTATTCTGGCTAACTTGTTGGAAAAATTGTTTGCAGATATTTTTTCCCCTTCTGAAGTTCCTGTGAGATATGTTGTTTCTTTTGCCATCCACAAGCTCATTTGTTTGATGATATCCTATTTGTCAGTTTTTGCCTTTGTTGCCTTTGTTTGGGGTCCTATCCCACAATTCTTTGTTCAGACCAATACAATCGCTCCCCATGTATTTTCCTGTAAGAGTTTTATACTTTTGGCCCTTTTGAATTGAAGTTTGTAGTTGCTGATAGGGGTAGTAGTTTTCATTGTTCCTCAGCTAGATACCCAGTTTTCATAGCACCATTTCTTGAGGATACTGTCCTTTTTCCATTGCATGACTTTGTCAGAGATTTGTGATCTTTTTTCTGTATTCTTCATTCTGTTTTCCTGCTGTATGTGTCTTTTTCGATACCAGCACCAAAACTGCCACCACAACCATGCTATTTTGGTTACTACAGTCTTAGCAGTATGTTTTGAAGTCAGATACTGTTATGTTTTCAACTTTATTTGTTTTGCTCTGGATAGTTCCGGCTACTTAGGGTCTTTCATGTTTCCATATGAATTTTATTTTTGTTTCCTTTTTTTCTGTGAATGTCATTAGTTCATTGTTAGAAAAGCATTAAATATATAGATTGTATTGGATAACATGGGCATTTGAAAAATATGAATTCCTCCAATCCGTGAGCATTGGGTATGTTTCCATTTTTTGTCTTCTTCAGTTACTTTCATGAATACTTTATTGGCTTTGTTGTGGAGTTCTTTCACCTCTTGGTTAAATTTTGTCCTAGATTTTTTAGCAACTATTGTAAAATATTTTTTTCTTCATTTCTCTTTCAGCTGATTCATTATTAGTGCATAAAAATATGGATTTTTTGCATGTTGATCTTGTACTCCTCAGCTTTACTGAATTATTTTATTAGCTTTAAGTTTTTTGGTATAGTATTTGGGTTTTTCTTTATGTAACATCATGTTGGGGCTGGCCTCATGGCATAGTGGGTAGAGCTGCCACCTGTGATGCTCGTATCTTATATGGGTGCTGGTTCATGTCTCAGTTGTTCCACTTCCAATCCAGCTCCCTCATAATAGACTGGAGTGTAGCCCCTGCTACCCATCTGGAAGACCTGGAGGAAGCTGATGGCTTTGGCCTGGATAATCCCTAGCTGTTGCAGCCATCTGGTGAGTGAACCAGTAGATGGAAGAAATTTCCTTCTCTCTCTCTTTCTCTCTCCCTCCCTCCCCCGCCTCCCTCTCTGCCTACCCCCATAATTCTGACACTCAAATCAATAAATCAGTGTATAAAAATTTTATAATTTTTATAATGTGGCTCACTAGGCTAATCCTCCACCTGCGGCGCCGGCACCCTGGGTTCTAGTCCCGGTCGGGGCACCGGATTCTGTCCCGGTGGCTCCTCTTCCAGTCCAGCTCTCTACTGTGGCCCGGGAAGGCAGTGGAGGATGGCCTAAGTGCTTGGGCCCTGCACCTGCATGGAAGACCAGGAGGAAGCACCTGGCTCCTGGCTTCAGTTCAGCTCAGGGCACCGGCTGTAGCAGCCATTTTGGGGGTGAACCAATGGAAGGAAGACCTTTCTCTCTGTCTTTCTCTCTCACTGCCTAACTCTGCCTGTCAAAAAAATTATAAAATTATATTGTC